TACCTAATAAATAATAAAATTTTGAAATCAATCTTTTTAGTTATTGGCCATGTTCTGATAAATTTTGTTAATACATTTCCTGATAAACTTAAAGTCATGATGTACCAATATTAATAGTAAATAATAGTAATGAAGCAGTTAACTTTAGACCCACAAATACCTTACCTACACTAGAAAAAAAAATCTTACAAAAAACTGTACATAAACACTGCAGTTAAGCATCAGTAAATGGAAATTATTGATTAATGACAACATATACATTATAGCTGTTTTTATAGATTTTAAAAGAGCGTTTGAAGTGATTGATACTAAATTGCTTCTTAGAAAACTGAAATGTTATGGTATTTCATACAGGTAATATATACTTGTGGCACAGCTTATACAATACAGCTCCACAACTCCGTGTCGGCGTCTTTGATCTGGCGGTCGAGAACCAAGCAAGACGGAATGGTGCTATCTCTGTTAGATTCAAGGGAAAAGTCGGGCCCGGATTAAACAATTTTTTTATTATTGAAAAAATTGAAAACCTTGGCGTAATAAGGTTGGTCACATGCCATATTAAGTAAGTTTTGGGAAATTACATTTTTAATTTGTTTTAAATCTTTCAAATATAATTAAAAAAATTATTTAAATATAAATATTACGAAAAATAGCACATCTTTCGGATTAGAGGTAAAATAATTTATATATGGCTAGTAAAATCCTCGTTAACAAATGTTTTGAGCTAAAACAGTCACTTCACGACAAATTGTGGCTTGGATCCATTTTACACCAAGGGCTTCAATTGTTAAAGAATTGTGTCACGCTCGTGGATGCAAATCAAGTGGTACCCCCGTGTCTCTGGCAAGTGTTACTCTTCGCGCAAAGGGTTTATACCTAGATAAACGAATGCTTCGACTGAGGTCTGGGAACTCTATGGTATTTTGGAATTATAAAGAATGTGTGCTTTTGTTTTAACAATATTGGTTATATTTAGATGTATTCTTATTATTTGAAATACAGATTTGTAGAAGTTATACTTTGACAGTTTTTATTAATATAATATATTCAATTTTTATCTGACCATACCGAAGTAGGAAATTTTAAAACTTTATAGTAATGTGAAATTTGAATTACAATATTACAAGATATAACATAATTAGTACTTATTTTAGGTAGGTACTAAATTTGTACTTGGAGAAAGTAATATCGATTTTTACAAGAAAACTTGAAAAGTAAATTAATTTAATTCCTATTTCTGATGTAAAACTTAAACCAAGAAAACAAATAAATTGTAGTTTGTTCAACAAGGGTGGATATGATAGCCATATCACACAAAGACGAAGTTTGAGCACGACGTCGTAGGCGTAGAACTCAATCGTCTGATTGTGATATGAACAATCTACTCGATATGGTCAGTATATTTTTTCTACGACCCACTAACGAAAATCTACAAATTTAAAAAATTATTTTAGGTTATTTAGACAAAATAACTAATTTTAAAATAATTTACGAAGTTGACTAATTTATAAAATAAAATAAACATGAAAAATTAATTAGTCCTCGGCCTAGATTCGATCCCGGACTTTTCGCGTGGAAGGCAGATGCTCTGTCTTCATCTTCACCGAAACTTTCAGGACTTTAGTTTTAATACTCGTAATTAAATTAGTATCATGTAGTTTGATTAAAATTTATTTTTTTTTTAAATGTGGACACAATAAAAACAAAAATGCTATTATTTATCGAGTCTACACAAAAATTTTAATGTATATTTAATATCAATAACTAAAATATATATTGACAATTAGTTTAACAGAATTGTCACTTATTTAAAAAATTTTAAATAATAGGAGTTGGGTGACCAAAATATGAACTGTGATTTGTAGATTTAATTTTGTTAAAGTGTTCTTACTACCTAAAATGGATATGAAACATATATGTAGTTGAACACAATAACATACTTTTTCGTTTTGTAGTATGTGCGTAGATTGGCTAATATCCATGCACAGATTACAAAACGAAAAAGTATGCTATTGCCTTCAATTGAACGAATATATTTCATATCCATTCTAGGTAGTGAGAACACTGCAAAAAAAATAAATTCGCCAATCACCGTTCATATTTTGATCAACCGACTGCTATTATTTTTAAAATTTTAAATAAATGACAATTCTGTCAAACTAATTGTCAGTATATTTTTTAGTTATTGAGATTAAACATACAATAAAATAAGTTATTCTTTTGGAAAACGTTAGCATGGATGACTAAAGGGTATTGGGTTAATTAATTCTAAAAGTGTGGTACAAATGTTATTTTTTGTAGCCAATTCTTCAAAATTATTTTGAAATATCTTTTCAATATTGAATATTAGTTCTACAAATTCATCATTTGACAGTTGCAGATTTCCAAATGTATCTGAATTGGCGTTATCATATGCCTTTAAAAAGCAATAAAAAGAAAAATCATCTATTTCAACGTGATCTTTGTTATATTTAAGACAGGTATCGCAGGAGTGGATCCATAAGGCTTTTATTAAAAGGTAACCACACACATACCTGATAAAAATTTTCTGTAGCAATTCGTCTTTACAATAATTTAGGGTGTTAATAATTTCATCATAAAATAAAATACAAGGTGTTCCATTTAAAAAACATACATTTTAATTTGCCAGGCAAAAACGTGACACCCTGTATATCCAAAGATATTTTTAAAATATGTAGGTATTTTTCAAATCCATATAACTTTTATTTAAAACTTTCTTGCGTGTCTACAACAAAATAATGAACAATAACGCACTAATGGGACACCCTGTATAAATTATATTTTTAACAATGAAAATTTCTTATAATGTGGTACTTATCGGTTTGGGTCCTTGGGAAAACTAAAGAATGTTTTCTTGCAGGTATAACCCTTATTAAAACAGCTTTTGACTGCACAAACAGAATGATGTCTTTTTTTTCATTCATTCTACTCACAGCTAAAGAGTCACCAAAATAATAACAGTACCTTTAACTCAAACAAAATCTACGAAATTATAGGCTCCACGAAATTATACAATCAACGAAATTATACGCACGACTCAACACCTTACCTAAGTACACTTCTGAACGCCAAAACCGCCTTTTCCCTTCGAAGGCGGAGCTTAAGCGATGCGCGACGAAATCGACGCAAACCGTTGCCGCCAAGAGAGTGTTTTAGCTGTATTGTATAAGCTGTGCTTGTGGTTTCAAAATTATTTTCAAAACAGATTTCAGAGAACAAAAATAAATACCCATTCTATGAAATACCTGTAGTGTCAGGTGTTCCACAGTGCTGTTTTTTGGGAACTCATTTAATTATTTTCTATATCAATATCAATCTTATTAAATGTGAATTATTGAAGATCTTTGCTAATGATACATTAATAGCTGTTAGTGATTATAGTTTAGAAAGAGCAATAGTTAAATGAATCATATAGTCAAAAAAATAGTTCAGTTTCTAGATTTAAACCAATTAAAACTAAATGTTAACAAAACTATAGATATGATAGTACCTACATAATATAAATACAATCAAATTGATTTAAATAATAATGACATATTAATAAATGTAGAAAAGTTGGATATTGTTGAATAGAATAAATAACACTTTGAATTTAACCCAGAAGTTCACACTCAAAAAAACTTACGTCATTACATGTGTACGGTCAAATCGACCGCATGCCCAGTTTTTAGTTATAAATTCTTACACTTACACTGAAAATGGCAAAACTAGACCACAAAAAATGGTTTCAAAGGGATTTTTTGATTTTTTTATAGACTAGAAGCAAAATATTTAATTTTCAGCAAAAAACAAAAAGTCTAGTGATATAAATATTTTGAATTTGACTGGTTTCACCATAGCTCTCAACACTGGGACATAGTTGGTAGTAGAAAAACTGCCTCAGCATTCTCAGAAGGTCAGTACCACCACCATTGGCCATCACAAGTTACACGGCCCATATGAGCTTAATCTCTTCAACGAAGTTTTCAGGCTGATATCCCAGAACAGAGCCATTCCTTGGGCCCCCCGTTCACCTGACCTCACCGCATGTAATTTTTTCTTGTGGGGCTTGCTAAATAGCAAAGTTTTCAAAGAAAGGCCTCGTACATTTGAAGAACTGAAGGCAAGAATCCGTCAAGAAATCGAAAGAATTCCTCAGCAGATGCTCCTTGGTGGAATGGACAATTTTAGAGATCGCCTCCAAGAATGCATCAATTGAAATGTACGAAATCTTAATAATAGTTTCTGAAATGCTTTTCAAGATAAATTAACATGATATCAATAAGATTTTAAAAAATGCAACTGTATTTTTTAGTTATTTCAAAAATACAGGTTTGACTGCCACACTCTGTATGAGACCAAAACATAGGTGGTAATTTGAAACCTTTCTAAATGTGTTAGAAAATCTAACAATAAAAGACAAAAAAAAATTCTGTACACATTTGGAATATTGTAAAAATTATTATTTTATTTTTTATTCATAGGTTGTTTCTTTTTATTCATTTTTAAGGAATGTATATATAATATGTGTAATATACATATGTATACATTACATTTAGGTATTTTTTTGTTAATTTCTTACTATTTACAATTTCCTACCTGTAAACCTTGTTTTTAGAAAGCAATAAAAATTATTATTATTATTATTACTACTGGCGACTTCACAATAAAAACACCTTTTACTTTACTTGACTAAATTACACAGAACATTTCAATTCTCTGCTAATTTCATGAAATAGACCAATCCATGTACTAAAACTTAGTATCGTAAACAGAACATTTTTGTAAATAATATTTTAGGTTCTAAGTTTAGTAACTAAATAATTGATTTTAGTTCTAAATTTAGTGAACTGAGAAAGTTGGTTTAGATTTGAAAAAAACAATGCAGATTTGGAAAATCTAAAAATAAAAAATCCCTAATTTCTCTACAAAATTATGAAAATTACATCCTCATAATTAGTATCATGACATAAAACCTTAAGACAAAAAATTACACTTACTGGTTAAACAACATGGACAACATCATCTCGCTGGTCTCATCAGGAAGATTTGTAAGGAAAAGAATTTGGTTAGGAGGCTGTTCGGCATTAGCCCCACCAGGAGGCCTATTGGGGTCCTTGTTCTTCTTTTTCTTTCTTGGAGCATCATCGTCTCGAGATATCGCTGGTTTAACTTTCTTTGGACGCTCTTGAAACGTTCCTTTCATCTTCGAAATCATGTCAGAGTCCTGTTTCGCATACTGTATACGCTAAAAATGAATATTAGAATCATGTGCCTGGTGCAATGCACAAAATATACAATTAAGTCTTATATTTACGAAAAAAATATTGTTGGCAAGACTTACCATTGGTTTATCGTAAAAAGGGAAGCCTTGCATCGATCTTAAAGCGTTCGTGGAGCTTTGGATTTCTTTGAAAATTACGAAAGCTTGGCCACGCATTTTTATCGTTTTCAATGCTACTATATCCAAAATTTGGCCAAATTGTGAAAATATGGCGTACAGAGATTTCTTTAGTTCCTCTTTTTTTACTTTTTCGTTTAAATTGTTGATATAAATGGTATTATTCGGACGAATATCCATCTACAAATTGTGAAAATATACTTAAATTAACGGTTTAAAATATAATATATACTTTACCTTAATTGCTTATTAATATTCAGTTGTTAGTAAAACTAAGTTAAAAATTTAATTAACTATTCCACTTATTGAAAAAGAAAAATTAACGACGCTTTATCAATGGACCACCTACAACGCCAAATCGCCGAATAAAAGTGAGGTTAATAAAAAAGAAGACGTTATTTTATACTTCTTTTTTCTTCTCTGTCTTTCTTGGATCACCACTTATTTGGATTCACAGACATTGATATATCTTTTACCTATTAAAAGTTATTTAAATTATATATTACGTTTTATAAGTAGGAATTTAATTAAACAGTATTTTTGAAATCATTAAAAACGTGTCACTACTTCTGTGGTCATTGCCGTCTACATCTCTAGTTACTACTAGTTAGGCAACTAGTGTTACACGTGTATTTCGAATTACATACATTAGATACATTATGACAATTTAAAAACGTTTTTTTAAAAACTTACTACCCGTCTCATGAACTAAAGATAGCAAACAGTAAAATCTAATAACAATTTATTGTGTACTCATGGACTAAAAATATTTTAAAATATTTAATTCGGATAAACATGCCATCTGCTTTTTTTAAATAGATTTTTAATTATTTTGTACTTATTAAAACACCCTGTATAGGAAGAATGCCTATAAGTTATATCGTTAAATGCATTTTTTACTAGCCTTCCAATGATATATAATAAGTATATAGGGGTTGGCCATTTTTTTAGTTGAGCGGGTTGATGTGGGATGTGGGTGAGTTCTGATTTTGTCATTTGAGTTCCCCCTTTGTATCCTATAAACCATTACCGTGGTAAGTTTTTAAAATGTCACTGTATATTAGGATAGCTACCTTTTTGAAAAGCGAATAAAAGATATTTCAAAAAACCTTAGATAGTATCGGCTTTATGAATGGTAAACCGCTAAAAATGCACTGTAGACTGTTTATTTTTTCACTTTTTAATAACTCATTATTGAAAAATAATATCTTAATTAGGTAGTTATATCATAATTGAATAAAAAACAACATAAATATAACTAAAAAAAATATGAAAGACTAAAAATACTTTAAAGGACGCACAAGCGGAATCATGCCTCTAGGTATTATTGAATTAGAAAATAGTATCTTCTGATTGATTTTATAGCCTTCAAGGCATCCTTGTTTTTTTTACTTCCCTCGATAAAAGTGAAGTATTGTAATCGTGAGAAAGTCACCTTGCGAGATTATTTCAGATTTTCACGTTTCAGGGTCCCTAGATTACGAAAAAACATGTTTCCCCATTCTGTCGGAAGAACAGCACTGGGACTGGGTTTCATTTCTGGAAGCGTTTGAGCCACGCCGATGCTGCTGCGAATAAGTTAATCTTGAAAAATATTCAAATATAGTTTTTAAAAAGGACATTTTAAGGTTTAAAAAGTCACAAGGACAATTTGTTTGAAAAACGGACTGTCCTTTTTAAAAAAGGACAGGTGGCAACACTACTTTATATAAAAGTTATAATGTAAGTCGTAATAAAAAGTCAAAGCATCATTTGCAAGCACTTGCCTAACCAAGACTAATGCCGCGTTTGAATATCCACATCCGATGCATTTTTTACATCTCGAGCGTTTGTTTATCCACATCGGACACATATGTCCTACTACATTTACGTATACTGAATCACGTGATCAAAGATTTACAACATCTCAGATGCATCCGATGTGGATATTCAAATTGTTCTGTTCTTTTTTTTGAACCTACCTACTTATTGGCTTATCTAATAATATAGGTATTAGACTTATTCATTCTAAAAAATCAAATCAAATAAATACCTATCTAAGTATCTAGGTACAATCATTGTATCTACAACGTAAAATTATTTGATAAATGATCAGTAAAAGATGTTGCCTATGTATTAGGTACCTCTAATACATTATACGGAGTAGCCCAAAAGTCTGTAAACGGCCAATTATCTCGTAAATTACTAATCCTAATTGTACAAAATTTGGGGTACACCTATTTTGGGACACGTAGATTCCAGATTTGATATTTGCAATGTTGCCAGATTTGCCGTTTCTCTTATATTATTAGTCACTTTGGTTTTTCAAATTTATCACCCTGTATATTCAGTTATTATTAGAATTTCCTATTCAATACGAGTTCAACCATATGTAACACTTATGATTTTATGTAGTCTGGAAGGTCTTAAATAAATAAAACAATCATGGAGAAATGTGGTAGATGCATTGCACCATCGATTAGGGTACTGTTAACTCACAAATGAAGCACATTTTGAACACTTGATAAAGTAACCATTATGTTAAAAATGCTTTAATCTTTCAATTGTTACGTTTTAATGTAGTTGAAAATAGTTTGTATTAAAAAATTTATTGAGACAATTAGGCGTTGCCAGATTTATTTTATTTATTTAAGACCTTCCAGACTACATTAAATCATAAGTGTTACATATGGTTAAACGCGTATTGAATAGCAGATTCCAATAATGACTGAATATACAGGGTGATAAATTTGAAAAACAAAAGTAACTAATAATTTAAGAGAAACGGCAAACCTGGCAACATTGCAAATATCAAATCTGAAATCACCATATCGCATAATAGGTGTATCCCAAATTTTATACAATTAGGACCAGCAATTTACGAGATAATTGGCCGTTTCCACACTTTTGGGCCATTCTGTATAGATGTTATTCACAATAGCCGAAATCGCTCATTGCCCGAACTTTTTGTCCATAACGCGTTATGGGTATAGTAGTTTACCCACGATGCGGTTAGAAACGTTATTTCCGGACAATGGGTAAAGTTAATTAACCAGATCGCGTTGTGAGTAAACTGTGTTACCCACGACACGAAATAATGGTTCGTGAGCTTTTGTTTTGCATTGTAGAGCTTTTCGTTTGCCCACGTCGCGTTGTGGCTATTGTGTTTGACTCATATAACGCATTTTAAATAATATAAAGAATACAAATAAAAAAAAAAACATTTATTTAAACGCATACAACATAAATTATTTAAAAAAACACACAAAGAAAACCAAGAACATTTAAACGACACAAAAACTAGAAATAATAAAGAAAGGAGCTTAAAAACAAATATTACTTATTTTTACAAGAATAACTTTTATGACATTTTGAATTACATTTTATATTTAATTTTACGCACCTACATGCCTTCGTTTGACATCCTTTCAGGCAATTATATCGGACAAACCCTTGCTTAGAACCAGAAGACAACTTTGCTTCTTCACGCACGTTTACAGAAGAGCCTGAAGGGATCTCAGATAGTGATAAAAATAGTGAAGGCGATAATTGAAACTCATTTCGGCTGAATAATCGTTTTAATTTCCCATTTTTTGTGCCAAGAATGTACAAATCTTGATCAGTCTTATCCATAATAATTGCTAATATATTTCGAGGAGCTAGACGTCCACGATCTACCTCTGGTATGTTTATTAAAACATTGTCACCTATATTGACAATTGGTAATTTCCATTGCGATTGGGTAAGCATTTTATCAGCTTGTTTTTCAAGTCCCTGTTTGCAACCCCTTCTCTCTGTATCAGCTGCTTTTTTTATTGCTACAAAGTTTGCATAATGGCAAATCCAAATCAGCACCACATTCCGTATGAAATGGTTCATTGCATTCAATGCACACATTTTGTGGGACGTACATGCTATTACAAACAAAACATTTAGTCATACTGGCATTTTCCTTCTCCAATCTTCTGTCGTTTCTATAATTTTCTGTTTCGGTATCTAGTTCCGTTTCAATTTCTAATTCGGTTTCGATTTCTAGTTCCGATTCACCAATTTCAGAATTATATTTCTCAGCTACTGTATTTGCTTTTTCTAAAGAAAGTTTCATTAATTTCAGATGCTCTTCAAGTTGTTCTTCAGTTTCAATCCCATTTACGACAGAGGTATCTAAGCACGTATCCAATAGTCCATTTCTTTGTGGAGTTCCAAACATGGCTTCATAAGGTGTTCGCTTTATACCTGTATGGAAACTGCGATTCTTCGTACTCTGAATAATACGAAGTTCTTTTGCCCAGTTTTGACACTTGTTATCAGACATCCAGGCTACAAGGCTATCACGAACGTCCTGATTTGCTCGTTCAACGGAACCCTCCCAGACAGCACACCAAATCCTTTGGATATCTAATGAACATCCCAATATCCACTGAATGTCCAGTCCATGGTGGATATCTATTTTATATCCATGAAATGTAATTTATAAACATGCAAATGTCCATAAATAATAGTAATTATATAGCAAATTATTAAAAAATTACGCCATTGTGCTCGCCATTGTGGCTAATAGTACCGTTCAGATATTTAAAATTAATTTTTTTAAGGTATGTATTCTATATCCCATGGACATCCACTATAAATATATCAAAGTCTAAGCGCGGACGCAAACCATCGTGGATATCTACTAGATGTAATTTTTGATTTTGCTTCCTAAGTATAGATGGCGATACCACTTTCGTATCTACTCATGCTCAACCCGCCGTAAATGAGTTCGATCGAATTTTTTTGGCAATCACACTCTATTAGAGATTGGAGTCGAGAATTTCCATTTATTGCTGAAGAGTCCTAATAAGGATGACTTTCTCCTTAGTGCCCTTATAGTGGGCAAAATCAAAGGCAGATTGTTGGAAATATTTTTTATCTCTATTTTCTTTCGAGGTTATTCAATAATCATTGGTTACTTATGAACCTCTACTAAAGATACCTATAAAATATTTTGTTGAATATCTGAATTCTATATCCATATTGGATATCCACAAAATATATTCTGTGGATATCTCTGGGATTTCTTGTATTGTCTGGAAGATACTCATTAGCTATTTTGCTGAATATCCATAGGATATCTTCTATATTCTGGATATAGACGGACATTTGGATATCCATATTAGATCCACGGAATATTTCTAATATCCTGTGGATATATTGGATATCCACAAAAGATATTCTGTGGATATCTCTGGGATTTGGTGTGTTGTCTGAGCTGGCTCTGGGAATGTCGAGGTTTACCGTGGACTAATTTGATAGCGGACCAACTTGCTGCTAATTTTTCAATGACCTGAAAGTTACTTAGATGAAACACAGCCTTTGTACAAAGCCATTACACTAAAGCCTTGGTTTCTTTGAACA